ACTCTTTAAATTCTAATTCAAAAATCATTCAGAGAAGATTAAGCATTTTATTGTATCTACTAAAAGCAATTTCGATTCGGGAAAAGACATTTCCTTAAATTTTCGCTTCGCACACGATAAATTTCAGATAAAAAGTGGATTAATGTAAAGAGAGTTGCCAAAAGAGGTGTTTTCGTAAAAAAAAGGGTACAATTGATGACTTTATGCGATAATGGCACTGAAATTAAGTTTTAAGTTTAAATTTTCAGTTATTTCATAATAATGATGTCGTTAACGAAATAAAAATCCCAGTTATAGACTTTTTAAGTTTTATAGATTATGCCACTCACTGTCAAAGATAGTAGCGCCAATCTCGTCATTGTCACCATTAGTTAAGTGTTTACAATCTAAAACAATCCACTTTTGTTTGTTGTAACATTCTATGTGAAATTTTCATCTTTTTTATGGATTTTTATCACATTTAATAAAACAATGATCGATATGTTAAACATAGCGTGTGCAATTTATTTTGTAAACATTCTGCCACTATTATCATTAGCAAAAAATCAATTTGGCTACAAAATAACTTTCATAAAAGATGATTCAAACATAGGGTATTGTTTACATGACTCAATGAAATAACTCGACGTTTAGAAAAAATTATGAAATACGATTTTTTTAGCCCAACTTGGAGAATTAGACGATAAAACATGTCAAAGCTTTATATAAAAAATGAAGTAAACTACTGCAAGTATTGATTTGATTGCAATTTTTCATTTTCTTGAAAATTAGATCCCCTCTTGAGAATTGAGGAAACCTAAAGACAAAATAAAAGAGTGTATGAACCAAAAACTTATTGCTTAGAAGTAATTTAGAGACTCTATTCTCAGTGATTAATACGTTGTATCTTTTAATTTAAATTGTACACTATTGAAATCAATACTTCCATACACCAAGCGGTCTCAATAACAAGAATTAGAAGCGTTTAACACCTACAAGTTACCATCGCGTGCATGTCGCTATTAAAATGAATGTATTTGCAACCACCATACATTTCCGTAACGGAATAAAATACTGCGGTTGCATTTCGAAACGCTAATTTACATAACGATTTTACGAAATTAAGTGTGTCATTGTACGCTAATTTTCTTTAACTTGTGAAGGAAAAATGGTGGAGGTGCCGGTGCATGCATTAACTTTGAGTAAAGTTTTAATTCTAAGTGGTTGTTTTGGTGGTCTGCATGTTTTGTATTTTAGTATTCTATTAGCTAATGGAACAAGAAATTTGAATATAAATTTTGAATTGCTAAGGAGGAGCGGGGCTAAATATATTAGAAATTGGAAAGATGAAGCTTTACTCAAATTTGATTATTTTTATATTCGCAATTGTTGCGTAAGAACATAAGGGGCTATACCCTAAAAACAACTTGAGACAGAAAAATTACAAGATGTCTAAGCTAAGACTTTTTGGTGAAGATTTTTGTTACTAACAAAGCTGAGCTGGCACACTCTGTACTTTCAAACGAGCTCACAAGAACTAAATTGAGTCACACCTGAGATAAAATCGAAGACTGAAAATTGGCTGAAAATATGCTGAAAATAGCACACATTTTGATAAATCTACACAACGTGTGGACTTCGTAATTTAATTTATTTTGTTGTAGATTAATTAAATTAGGAGTTTGACTGAAACAAAAGTTTGTATTCAGACAACACAGTTCATAGTTTAGCAAAAATATTAGTGAAAACTCTTGCAAGTATAATTAGGCAACGTCTCTGAATAAATAATAAGGTTCGTGAACTTGAGTTTTCCTTTTTTCTGCATGAATTTACAAAACGTTTTTTCGTCGCGAAACAGCATAACAATTATTTTGAAAACACCGACTTTGTATTCTCCTCGCAACACACTTCGAGGACATGGAGAAACCATAAATTGTATATTGATCACCGTTGAGAATCAATATAAAAGAGATAATCCTAATCTATTAAAATGTGAACTTGTTGTTTGTCCCTGACACAATTTTTAATTAATTTAAGGTGGTGTATAATTCACAGAACATCCAAATATGTGTGTGACATGACCTAATCTCAATTATGACATATAATTAATTCAGCCAGGCTTAACCAAAATTGTTTCATAGTTTGATAAATAATTTAATGCTGTCAGGAACTGCTACGAAATACCAATTTACAATGCGTAACCTTAGACACAGACAATTTCACTGTGAAAATAAAAATATCTTATGTCTGTAATAAAGTTGTGAAAAGATTCAATTTGAAGGCATTTTAATTGCTTCACGGTGCTGGGATATTTCAAATAAAATAAATCCAAGTGCTGTGTAAAAGAAATTACCACAGAAACTTAAAATTTAATTCACTTGAAAACATTTAAAGTAGTTTTCGTAATAACGCATTCTAGTTTTAAAAACTTTGTCTTCCACTTAATAAAGTGGAAAAGTATGAATGTTTTAAAATTTACAACACAAAGTATTTATTGTGCAGTAAAATTTGTGTTTGGCTCAATTTTTGTTTCAAAAAAGCCTTTATGTGACAAATCTTTGACAAAAAAATATTTGAAAACCCCATAATTCGACAGATTGATTCTTTCCATACAATTTGTGCAAAACTTAGCACAAAAAAACAATTAAAATTTTCTAACAAAAGATCAGTTTTCGTTTTTTTTTGCTAGCGGTGGCTCACTTAGAATGAATGACTGAACATGAAAAATTTGAACAAAATCGGTTAATAAATAATGAAGTTAGAGCAATTTCGTACTGTAGACCCAAAATTTACAAGTGAGGGCTAAAAACCCCACAAAAATCGGAGATAATTTCTAAAACAAGTTCAATCACCGTTCACTTTATTATTCACAAGTTTTCAATGAGGATAACAAATACGATTTGTCACGTAAATCGTAGTTCATTAGGAAATGTCTTCTTCATTTAATATCAAACTGACGTCAGTAATTCTCAGGATCTTAAACATTTATCGTTTCCTTGTTGACTGCGATTGACACATGTTACAAGAAGCATTCGCTTAGAACGACAACAGACCACACAAACGTCAAAATGAGCTGTCTAATACAAAGGAAATTGTTGTGATCAGTAAGGGATGATCTCATTATGTTTTAAAACTAGAAACATTTACAAAAAAAAATACAAAAACCTTAGAGCGAAAGAATAAAGTAGAGCGATTAAGAAATCTTTTTTTTGTCTTTTATTTTAAAACTAGAAACATTTACAAAAGAAATTAGAAAAATTTTAGAACGAAAGAATAAAGTAGAGCGATTAAGAAATCTTTTTTTTCTTTTATTTTCCGAATAGTGAACACCCTACGGTTATTCTTCAAAGAGATATCGGATGAAGAAAAATTAAGAAGTAATTCCAACTTCCTTTAAAAATTACTTTCGGAATAAATGAACTTTGATAAGAAAGGTGATTAATCACTTTTATTAGTTTCTTTCCTTGATTTTGGAGATATTCATAGGTCGACTTTAAAGCAAAAATCGTACAAAATGTAGGAGTGACGACAAACTAAACTACTCCAAAAAATTAAAGGAACATAAAAGTTTTCTAAATTTTTTGGTGATTTTTGACAGGCTGTAACTCATCGAAAAATGGTTGTATCTAAATTTTTAACAAAACATTTTGAAGCTTTAAGTTTCTAGTTTTGAGATCTTTTGGAAAATAGTTTTTTTTCACCTTTAACATTGATTTAAAAAAAAAGAGAAAAAAGTAAGTTTTTGCGTTGTTTTAGTAAATCTAGCGCGTATTCACTAATATTGATGGGGAGACTAATGTTTTTAGGTGTTTTTACAGTTTAATGTTCCCCCCACATCCCTGTAAATTTTGAAATCGATCCATCAAACCGTTTACCGATAATCAGTATTGTTTCTTGAATTTGTTTACAAATTTAAAAAAACCAAAACATTTTTTTGATTTTTTTTTTCAAAAATTAAGCATCTTAAATGTTTTTACAAATTTTCAAAAAAAAATCAAAAAACATTGCCTAACCTTCATCAAAATG